ACGCAGCAAAAAAGTTACAAACAAAAAGAAAATAAAAAAAGAGTCCGTTACCCAGACCACTTTTGTAGTGTGTCTCCAGACCGAGACTGTCGTCGACAAAAATTCTAGGTCGGGTCTCCTGAACAGTAAACAAAAATTCTAGGTCGGGAGACCACTTTTGTAGTGCAATGCGCCTGTTAGGCAGAGACCAAGGTCCGACGGTCCAACACAAACAACAGCAACAAAAACAACAACTGCCAACGGCACAGCGCTACGGAGTGTTCGAAGCTCCCTCTCCTCTTTAAGCGGGTTTGCCGCCCGCAGTAGCTCGGATCCCTGATAGGGGGGAGGCAAAGAGAAGGGCCCAGCCCGGGATCGGTAAATGGTGGTAGAGACTTGTAAAGGCAACTGCTCGACGAGTTCGGAGGGCTGTTTAGGTAAACCTGGTCCGATGGGTCGTAAATCCAATGCTCGAAGAGCGCCTTGTACACCTTATACCCTTGATAAGGTCTTCGACGGGGACGTCGCAACGTAGCCCGTCGGGAAAGAAGAGAACGTAGCAGCGCTACACCGTCGTACTGCCCGATGGCAAAGTACCAACAACGGATCGGTCGCAACCGAATTCCGATGGTACCAACACTGAGAAAAGCACCACTGGTGCACCAACACAAAAGCCCGATGGCAAATGACGTCACGTTGCGGATGGCAATCCTACAAGGTGGGACCAACTCAAGATTAAGGGAAATTAGGATAGGGAAATAAAGGGAAAAGAAATGGGAAAAGGGGACCCCGAGCGATAGAGGATGCCGTAGGCTTAGGTAAAAGGGAGCGTCTTGATAGAGACGGACTTCGACCAAGGGGGACATTCAACTCCGGCAACTCGGGTTGGTTTATTGACTTGTTCGGTCAAAGGGCTAAGTTATATAGAGCCCCGCCGGGGCGAGTACAGTAGCTCCCGGCTCTAGATTCTAGATCTAATTAGTAAATAAAATTAAATAATTAAAATAATCGTGCGCTTCGTCGCACACGTGTGTCCCCCAACCCCGGACTACAGTATCCAATTTTTTTTCCTTTTTCACTTCCTTCCTCCTCCCTACCCGAGACGGGTATTGCACTACAAGGATAGCAGAAGGGTCTTCTTCGTCTGTAGAGAACAGCGCATCCTCCACTTGTTGACAGAGTTCGAGGAGGATTTGATGGCTTCTCTTTGGATATCTCCTGACTTGCGATGAGATATTTCGCATCACGTTGCGAGGCTTGGGGCAGTCCCTGATGAAATGACTGGAATCCTGACAATGTTGCATAGCCTGGGGTTGCCATAACGGTCTAACCCATTTTGATCGGCTTTTGTGCTGTCTTGAGGGGGCCTGAATGGGGCAGATAAGCGTGATCCTGGTTTCTTCGGTCGTCCGTAATATTTCTGACCTTCGTAGTAAAGATCAGGAGTATATTTGGATGAAGATTTTATCCCTTTATGTAGGGAAGATTGACCGATGTTCAGATCTTTCTTTCTACCTTCTTGCTCTTCCTGGTCTTGAAGCCAGGCGTCGTCGAGTGCCGTATACAGATGTTGAAAATCCCAAGGATTAGATGTGGACTGCGAGTTCGCAAGGGCTGACTTGGCCCACGGGGCACCAACGACAGCCTTGTAAAGGTATTCCACCTTGTCTTCCTCGGAACGGTGAGTCCGTGGTCCTTGAGGAGCAAAACGTGTGATGATCTCACGTAACTCTTCCAAAGCTTCTGCGGTGTTGAGCTTCTTGGCATGCATGAAAGATTGAATTCTCAGGCTCTGGAGGTACTTCCTGATTCTGTTCTGCCGAGTTATGCTGTTGTATTCGTCTTGCATAACTTGGCATGCCTGACCAAAACTTCCACACAAGTCCCTCACCTTCTCTCGATAAAATCTCTTAGTTTCTCCATCGAATATGTTGTGGAAAAAGGCAAGTTTGTTGGTTTGGTCAAGGTTGTAGTCCTGAGCGGCATCAATGTAGTTATTGATGTGTTCCGTGAGGTCCTCACCCAGTTTTCAGGTGAATTTATCCTGGTTCTTGAATGGCAATGCCATGTTGTGAGCGGCTCTTGCTTCGGAGTCACGTCTCATAGGGGGATAACCTTGTACTGGTGGGCCGGCTTGACGTTCAATTTCCTTGTTAGTAGGCATACATGCTCGGCTACTTTTCTTGTGTTGAACAAGCCCGTAAGCAATATCGATGTCGTCCGAGTCTGAGTATAACATTTTTACTAATCCCCATGAGATGCAGTCAGTTGCAGGATGTCTGATATACTCTACACCTTCTGCACGTAAGAAGCCACGGATGATTCCGAAAACGAACGTGGTGCCCTTCAGTACTTCGACGGAATATAGAGTTTCGACAGGGAGGTCTTCACGTAATCTTTCTACTAGTTCTGTGTCCAAAATATGATCAGATCTTGCGCTAGTAATGTGTAGCGTAATAACTGATATAATATCATTGTGAACTGGACATGGTGGTGTATACGTTTTAAGTTCCTTGGTGATGGTCTCTATAGCTGCCTCGTCAATTCTGTTATCCATAGTGTTTGGTGAGTCAAAGTCTCCAGAAAGTAATTTAGTAAGTTAATTTAGCCTTAGAAAAAATAAGCTTTCTGCAACCTTACAATTATGCTGAAAATTTGACTTTTTTATGGCTCACACTAATTCCAGCTGAATACGCGTACAGGTGTGCAACGCTCACAGCTAATACAGTAGTAAACACGTGTGCAATTTTCAAACCTAGTGCAATGTGTGACCCGTCTCCGATTTTGTGCGCGAAAAACACGTGCCAAACGTGTTCAATTTCCACACGTGTTAGAGTCCACACGTGTGGGAAGTGTGTGTGGAGAGTGTAGTGTACCACGTAGGGGGGCAATTGCAGTAGGATGCAACAATTGTAATTCGACTTTTCAAAAAACAGCAAAAAGTGTTTTCGGAAAAGTGTTGTAAACTTGTGTTTCAATTTTCGAGGAGGGTTTTGAAAAATGAACCGAAATGTTTTGGTTACTAAAAAATTTAATTACTGCGCGTTACTTTATGCTCGTGCAAGTATAAGACTCGACGGCGGTGGTTGGCGCCGATGAGGTGGGACGCCAAGTCGTGCGTGGAGGCACGACAAAACCTCTAGCAGGTAGCCCTCGCTCTCGGGTTTATAGCGAGCTTCGCGTGCGAAGTGCCTCTTGCCACCCTGGTGCTGATGTAGCTGATGGGTACCGGTAACGGTGACCTAGCACACGCGGCACGTGAGCGAGCGTGCAGGGGGCTTCTTTTTCTGGATGCGCGTTGTAGCCACGCAGTACAGCGTTCGATTGACGCCCTCATGTAGCGTAGATAATGGTACCTTCACTACAGTAGAAGGAGACTTAATTTGATTAAAAATACGGGCGTTGTCCACGTGTAAATTTTGTCCCGCCCCTAGTGCGTCAATTTCCGCTTCCTCCCCAAAAACCTTGTCCTCCGGCCTCGGTTGGTCCGCCGGGGTAGCTTCTTCTTCGACGAGGTCCAGTACGGAGACGGAGGTCTCCTCGTCGCTTTCCCAATTTACCTCAGGCGTGCGGGGTTGATACCGTGCGCCGAGGGTGGGATCTTCTGGGTCTTCTACAAGGGCGGTCGGTGCCCCGAGTTTACGGATTGTTTCTGAATTTAATACTACTAGAATAGAAATTAGTTTGGCAACTATATTCCTATATTAGAGGTAGCGAAAAAATAAAGAACTTACTCTTGTATTTTTTCAGTGAGAGTTATCCTTAAAAGGATGATGGGTATACCTCTTAATTGATAAAACGTACTGCGTTAATGTCAAAGAAGAGGTAGGGAGACCACTCTTGTAGCGATTCCAAAACGTTGAACAATTCCAAGATCCTTGAGGTTTCTTTCTTCTGCAAAGAAAACTATTAAGCCTAAAGTCTAGACTGTCGCAGAAAATAGAAGAAAAGGGGGGAACAATAAAGGTTAACCGGCAAGACCGGGCGAATGAGGGGAATCGCGCTTTTTATTGTCGTGGCTTCGTTTTTGTTTTTCGCTTGTCTTGGCAGCTAGTCTGCCTCGACTCTTCCCTTATTTATACTACTTCAGCCAGGTGCTTTGTCCTCTCCTCACGTAATGTTTTGCACTATCGAAGCATTTTTAGGAGAGGATGCACTGCATGTTGACAACTGAGATTATTAAAATGCTCCCGTTGTTGTGTATTACATTAATTGCGTTGAGGTTATTCGTCCTGTATGCGTCACCGACATACCATAACTTCCCACAGCTGATGCTTTGCTTTCAATCGCAGTTCCGAGATCAGGCAGTGCCGACTGATATGTTTTTCCAGCCTTGTAATCATATTCTGATTAAAATGTTTGGGCCATGATTGTCATATGCTGTCCAACTTACGGGCTCCGTTTTTCCCATTTTGACTTGAGTGAACTGCCTGAAGAAACTGACCGTCTCATCTGAGAAATGCTCCGTGGTCAATTATGTGCTACAGGATGTGTTCTACTCTCTCAGTAGACATCAAATCGGCGCTCGGGGTCCAGTTCTGGAACTTTTGTGTTTAAAATCTGAAAATTGTCCCAAATAGGGGGTACCCTACTTGTACTAACCTCATCGTTCCCGTTCTCCCACACCAAAGTTACAAAATTTGGTGCCATTGTGACGTTATGGACTGATTCAGTTATCGGACCAACCCCTGTTTATTGAGACAGCCCTATCGCAGGAAATACTGCCCCACGACGGAATCTGTTTTTATCAATACAAACGTCTCGGCGGTGCGGTTCCAACCGGCTTGGTTTCATATCTTAAGTCAGTCTGAAACTGGAGTTATGCTAAAGAAACCCGAAAGGCCCCAAAAAAATTTGTCACGAAAGCCGCGCACAGGGTTAGTGAACTGGTGTTGGATTGAACGGGCGTGCGACTGAACGGGCGCTGAGGTTGTAGGGTAGGACGAGACGGTGGGTGTGGTCGGGTGGCAAAAGAGAAGGATCAGTATGTGTAGATCTGGTCCCAAGCAAAAGAGAGTTAGAGAAAGGTAGAGTTTACTCGGGCTACCGCACCGCGCTCACCGTTGTAGATCCCAGCCAACGCCGAGTCCACGTGGTGGTGATTAGTTTCGTCCGACAACGCCCCTCCATCGCCGCACCCATTAGGGCCTGCCGCTGCTGTGGCGGCAGGGGCCGCCAGCGCCGGAACCTCGGCCGACTGCCGAGGGGCGAGCAAAGTAGAGGACTCTTGACTATGTATGCTACGTTATATCCTTCTATTCTCATACCTCAACCATCCATCGAATGCAGTTGGTTGAGGTGTCAGTATCCGCGGTAAACAGGTCGAGCATAGCGCTTTAGCGCGACACTCCTTCGAGCACGAAAGAGAATAACACATAGCACGAAACACGCCGCAGACCCCGGTTGTACTCTCTGACTTTAACATATTCACAACCATCTTGCTCTGCCTGCCAGCCAAAAAGTGCTGGTGCCTTGATCGCATCCTTGTTTTTTGACTTCTCCTCCAGACCGAACATTGTCCATTGCAAGCCTCTAACAGCCTAAAAGCGCCCATTTTGCCGGCAACCACGCGGGCTGCAAGCACGACTACTCTGCTCCCCCACCTCCAGGAACGGGGATTTGACGTCAGGGTCAGCGTCGGCGTACTCGCAGTGGCTGAACATCCAGTCACTGGACCGGACGAGGCTGGCGGCTAGCATCCACTTCAGCGTGTCCTGCGCCCGCACATCCTTCACGTTGACGAGGGCGCGTCGCTTGAAGGACAAATTGCGAATGTGGTGCGGCATCGCGGATCCTAAGTAGTTACTACCCAGAACCGCTGACCCCACATCCGCATCCAGCTGGACGATCGACAATAAGTCACGCCGGTTGCCCACGTTGGTGAACGTCTGCACGGTCATCGTCGCACCAAGGCTAGCTGCCAAGCTTGCGACGACTAAGTCCCCGGGGCAGTCAATACGCCCTCCGTGGCCGGGGCGCTCCTTTTCGGAAGCCTTGGGGAGATTCCCCAGGGCATACCGGCCTTGGGCTCGGACCTGGAAGGGCAGCAGAGCCTCCACTGCCGCCACACAGGGCCAAACACGTGGGTTGCCGTGATGCAGATCACCGACAACGGTTCCAGCCGGTCCGAAACCGTATTCCCAAGAAGGTGAGTAGTCAAAACATAGGCCAATAGACCTGCTAAGACACTCTGCCGTCGACCCGTTGACCGTCAGCCAAGCAGAGAAACGCCTGCATATTTCGATCGGCACCCGACGGCCTAGGCGGGTGATGCCGAAATGCCCGGCCGTCTGTACCAGGCTAGTGTGGGCCGCAGCGCGTATGCGGGCCGCCAGGTGGGGTAACGTTTCCACGTCCCCCACTATGCATGCGTGGCCCATCTGGTAATACCGCGTGTGAGTACCTGGGGCAGGAGGTCAGCGTAGCGGATGTCATCCGGAATGTCCAACTTGTCCATCCAGTGCGACATCTGCTTGATCTCCTCCCCCTCCACGGCCCATGGGACGGCCATGGCGAGGCTCCAGGCGCTGATGTAGTCATCCCCAGCGCCCACGGACATGACATATGCATCAGCATAACTTGCCAGCGTAAACGGGTCATCCCACGGTATTCTGGCAAAGTCCGGGACGGTCTGCCCCCACAACAGGTGAACGTCCGGGTCTCCCGGAATGGAGAGCTTCCCTATGCGCGAGTTGGAGGCCTTAACTGGAGCAAACGCGCCTGCTGCGACAGCCACAAACGCGGCATATGCACCGTCGGATTCCATGCCATCGACGTTGACAACCCGCCGGCCTCGATGCTTCAAGAGCGCGAGCATGGCAGGCGCGTCGTGTGGGCAGACGCGTGTCACCATCTCCGCACACCTCCGCATGGGGACGTAATCCAGGCTGCCGGTCTTGTGCATGGCAGCCTGCATTACATAAAGGCACATTTTTGAGAGGATCAATCCGTGGGATGACCCTCGCCTGATCTCGAGTATGAGGGGCCTGACCACTCGTATGTAGTCAGCCTCCCTCAGCGTCGGGAATATAAACCTCGCAATGGTCCGCGGAAGCTGTTCATCTGATGTAGGCAGACCATCAGGCAAGTCGGCCAACGACGCCGGGATAGCGGGTCGCTTACGCTTCGGCCGGGAAAGGTATATCCGAGGGCGCCCTTCATTGACGGAAAATATGACTTCCGCCGTCCCATCGAAATCTTCAAGTCCGACCGTCGACTCGACAGGCCAAGGCGGCCACTCGACAGACCCGACCGTCGACTCGATCGGCATCCCGAACACTGAGCTAGTAAACTTGAACCTATCCCCGAGCTCGGTGGGTGTACCACCGGGAATAAATCCTCCATCCTCTCCACTACGTACCAGGGCAGACCGGATAAGCCCTGGGCGCACGCGCTGTGTTGGTTGAGAGCCCCAGCGACAAAAGGCTCTATTTCAATCCTTCCAAAATCCATGTCCCATAACGGCTGGACTGGGTTGTGTGTTCGCCCCAGGACGGATCCTGACGCTTGACATGTGGGTACAGTCTCTCCACCTCTCCTCGAGCGCGTAGCATAAATAATGCACCGAGTGCGAAGTGTAGTTGAGTATGCTTAGTATCCTTCCGTTCTCATACCTCAACGATGGCCACATCGAGAGTATGGGTGTTGCTTACTGTAGCTCCCAGGTGTTGCAACTTGCAGTACGATAAAACACCCGCTTGCAAGTTGCAAGCGGGTGTTAAATCGTACGGTACATAACAGTACACCTGGACTACCCACTACTGTACAGTAGTAGGTTAAATTTGAAGCCCACTTTTCGATATCCACTCATGAAATATGCTGGACCAGGTTAATTTTGAACTTTGATAAGCGGCAGGAGGCGGGCCAAGGGAGACACGGGGGGGTCTTAGCTCTGTTGTAAATAAAGATGAGGCGGGCCAAGGGAGAACCCGGACACGGGGGGGGGGGATGTTGTAAATAAAGAACCGTGGATGGTGAAATCGCCGTGGGGTGGAAGAGAGAGCACTGAAGCGTCGTGTTGTGCAGTACCCTTGGGTACAAGTACACGCTTGGGTAGGGTGCTACAAGTTGTACAGTAGTTTGCATTTACAGAAAGGAGAGTGTGGGGCGGGACGGCGGGACGTCAGCAGGGCACATCGATCCGTGTCCGTGGCGAAGCGGCCACAACAAGTGGGACAATACTTGAGCATTCGATACCCTGCCGTACAATACAGTGTACACGTGTGCGGGTGTGCCGTGTCCAGTAAGAGCACATCTCTAATAAAAAATAAAATAATGGCCGAGTGCAGTGCAAGTGATTGGGCAGCAGCGATATAATAATAAACAATACATAAGAATAATAATAATGGAAACTATACAGTATTGTGACTAACCTTCCTTTCCCGACACCAACCAAAAAATAAACTTTAGTCGGAATACAGCTGCAGGAGTAATTTAACATCACCAGCGACGTTTTTATAGCCGTCCTCGCCCATGCGAGAAACCCGAGAAATAGACATAGTCCTTGCCCTGAACATGTGAACGCGAGCGCACCTCCGTCGCGGCCCCTTTCCAAAATCGAGCGACAACCGGAGCGACAACCGCGCCCGACAACCGCGCCCGACAACCGCGCCCGACAACCGCGCCCGAAATCCGCGGCGCGCGCCGTAGCCCTGTCCCTGCGACAGCGCGGCGCCTCGCGACCGGCGCGCGCATCGAAATGCACACGCGCGCACGGACGGGCGGCAACGGCGCCAGCTTACACCAACTTCGCCGACGCTCATACGTCAGCCCCACGCCTCGATGTCTGCCCGCCCGCGGCCACGTGTTCCGCCGCGCTCGCCTGCCCGCGCGCGCGCGCGCGCGCGTGCCGTGCACCTGAGGCGAGGGCCGCGAGGCGGGCGCCCCCCCACCCGTGTACGCGTGCGTTTCCGCGCTGTTGCATTTCGCCCGCGCGGCCCCGCATTCCCGGAGC